TTCTTTCTTTTGCGCGCACAACGGTCTGGGCCTTAGTCTGTACGCGCGCATCTACTTGCACACTCAGGTTTTAGGTCGCCCAGGTCTCGACAATGAGGTGGGATTCATCGGTTGTCCCTGTGCACTTGGTTTCTCTTTCATCGCAACCACACACACTTTTGTCTCCGTCTCGTCCTCCTTCTCATGTCTTCACCCTTTTGTCCTTGTGGCGCGCACATTTGCACTTTCGCCCTTAGCCTTAATTTTTGCCTCCCTTTGGGGAGGCGTGTGTGTGTGCTCCTTGTAGTCACAGGGATTCGTTTGAATTGTTTTTCATCAGCAGGGGGGCAATGAGCACTTTGGAAGGCATTGCCCAACGAAGACCCTTCCATCGTGTTGTGATATTCCTGAGGGACGCCTTGGGAACGTACCTGCAACAATTTTTAAAGTTTGCGGCAGTCACGCACGGAACGCCGTCACTTCGACCTGATCGCCGATCTCGACCTTGTGCTTTGGGCCTCCTTTCCTTTTAAGACGTCCAGGATTCGATGGCTTTGTACAGGTACTCTTAGGAAATGGAACCCTAGGCCGGCGTGTGGCACCGCTTTCAGTTCCGTACGCATATCCATAAGTGTGTGTGTTTTTTTGGTTTTCCCAAGGCTTTTTTGGTTTATAATTTGTTGTTTTATAGTTTTTTGTTTTTTGTTTGTTTTCAATGTTTTTTGTTTTCTCTATGTCTATATTTTCTCGAGACTGTTTGTGTTTGTTTTCCAGTGCAAAGGACATTGAGGCAGCTTTCACAGACACATAGCATGAATGCAGGCCACAGTGGGAAGTTTATAGCACATAGATGGAAGTAGGCAGCAAAAACACGTAAAATACGCACTCTGGTGGTCCCCTGTTCTGTAAAAAAAAGGACTGCTTTGACCAATCTGTCAAGTTGAAAAAATCGCATTCACAAGGTTGATTCTGGACCAAAATGGATTGAAAATCTCATGAACTGGACCAGCATGGATCGAAATTACAAGCAATGAACCAAAAGTTGCGGGTCGGAAAACATAGGCAACAAAAATCCGAAAGGATCGGGTAGGTGGTGGCTTCTCCTGTTTGCCCACACGTGGATATCTGTTCCACCTGCTTCATGTTGTGGTGTGGTTTCCGGTGGTTTCCGGGATTGGAGTCGGCTTTTCCTCCGAACCGTGCAGCCCATGGTCCGGAGTCCAACCGGAGATGGATACGAATTCCAACCCCAGACTGAGAGCAAAGGAAAACGCCCCCCTGGTTTTCCAGATGGTCGAACCCCTGGCCCTGCCCTGCCGGCGCCTGTTACAAGTGCCGCTCCTGAGACTCGATCAGGGTGACCACGCAAAATGATCAAAAAAGCTTCTGGACACATCAAACCCCTCTCGTGGTAGACGAAACCATGGTCGTGGTAAACGGCTAGCTTCACCAGTTCTGGATACCCTTGGGAATTACGGGTAGGGGTCGGGCCTGGCATTATTTTATCGTCCCCTATAGAATGACCCTGTTTTTGGACCTCTGGAGGATCCAAATCTGTTCTTCCACGAATTCTGGAGTATCAATTCGGTCAGTGGAGGATAGATGCTGGCCAAGGCGTGCACGCTTGGTCGTTTGAGGCACCCCGAATCAGTTGGCCGAGCCCAGGAAAAGTTACCCTTACACATAAAACCTGGAGGGATTGGAAAAAATAGTTTTAAAAAAAAAAAAAAAAAAAAACTCTTTCTCCAACTAGTTGGTCGTACTACTAATACTTACACGCCTGCCCCAAGCCATCCACAGCTCCCGTCCTATCTTCCCAAATCTTTTCCTCAGTGCAGCGTTTCGGACGCTTCGTGGCCACCCAAAAGAACAGGACAATTGTTTCGGATTCGAGAACTCGTCTTCACCAGGTCCAACTTTCAGCCAGCCTCAGCCAGGTTCCACGTATCTGACGTGAAAATGATTCAGAATGATTTGGCCTCCCCATGGTTCTTTCGACGCATCCATCGGACTAGGCCAAATTTACTCGGAGGTCCCAACTGACGCTGAGGCCCGAGCCTCGGCGCAGCCGTGACAGATCTCCTGTCAAAGAAGTCCATGCCATTTTGCTCCAGAAAAGAAAGACAGACCGGACTTCGGTGTCTCAAGAGCGAAGAACCAGAGCTCATTGGTTCTGAAAAACTCGACCGACCCGTGTAGGTCCTTGCACCTGTGGAGACCAACCGTTCCCCGGCTGCGTTCCCCGACCAGGCGGACGAAGGAGTCTTCGTCTTCTGTCTGCAGTTCTCAGAACCCCTGAACTCACACACCGTGGTTGAAGCCCGCACCGACGGAGCCTCCGTAGAGCCTCTCCTGTGCTTGGCGCGCCACGCCGGCGCTGCTGCGAAGGCAGGGGAGCCGCAAGATCTGTCGGCGCTTGTCAATGCTGGGCCTCAAAGCAGAGACGGCTGTTTGAACGAAACCCTGTAGGGGTTTTATCATCGCATGTTATCCTTCCATTATCCCTCCGTGAGCACGGTTCTGTTTCATCTGCCTTCTTAGCTTGCTCCCTCTTAGGTGTCCGCAAGCTGGATCTCCGTGCTTCACGCAGCATCCCCAGCCGTACCGAACGACCATCTCAGCTCAGTCCCCTGGGCCGCAGCACCGGTGCAGCAGCACCGGCCGTTGGGAGCGCTGGGCCTGGACCAGCCCGGCGGCGACGGAGAACAGCTCGTTGCCGAAGCGGCCTCCAGCGGTGCCCCGGAGGTCCCAAGGACTCAGCGACGCTTGGGTCCGCACAAGCGTCGCATGTGGACTTTCTTCGGAGCAGAAACCGGTGTAAAGTAGGAATTCATGAGAAGAGACACAACAAAAAACTTTGGTACCCCATTGAGCCGTGGAAGGAAAACCTATTGGAACTGGCTTTGCTTTCGCAACAGGCTATCGTGGTCCTTTCGCGACCACAGTTTTGCCTTTCGCGGGCATACACTATTTGCTCAGCGCTTTCGCGGGACCTTTCGTGAAAGAAGTTTAAACATCGACTGCGGACATATATGCACAATAAACATGTCATTCAAAATGTCCTTTCGAATATGCCTTTCACTGCCATGTGTTTGTGATGTCTTTCGCAATAGCTTTCTCAAAGCTTTCGCAACTTGAGTTTTGCCTTTCGCATGGGTATGTCAGGACAACTGCATGACCACTGCACTCTTCATCTGTTGACTTTTGGACGAGGCTTCTTTCTTCCCATCCCGTGTCATCTGTCGGAGTGAGAGTCGACTCACACTGTCTTGACTCTGCGAAGCCCCCAGAAACATGAACTTCTGCGAAGCCCTCCGTCTGCAGAACCGAGAAAGTCTCCGGAATCGATGGAGCTCGATGTATCGACACCCGCAGATTCCGGGACCGAATCGCTCGGTGAAAGCAGGAAGAAGCGGATGGAAGAAGGCCTCCAGGGATGACCCTGGAAGAAACCGAAGACCAAACAGGTGGTGCCATCCACTTCCATATGAGTGACTTGGAGTGGGGAAAAAAAAATAACGTTCCGCTGGAATCCACCCCGAGGGAAATCCGTGGATCCGCGAGGTCTCTCGGTCGTTTGGACTCTCGCCTCCTTGATTGTCCACCGCCAGGAGAACTACCTTGAAAGGCTTTCCTGGACATTCGTCTGAGAGAAAGGAGGCAACATGACACTACTAAATAGCTACGTGTAGAGTCTAAAGCACTGGGGACAGCACGTTGTAGAGTCTAAAACACTGTCCCAACTTTACAACGTACATATGGGCATAGGCGCCAAGACGCTCACAAAGACTCTATGGCATCGGGATGAAAAGCGAGGGAGATCTATCACCTGCACAAATGGTCGAGGTTTAAACTGCCTAGAGATTGAAATGATCCTAGGGCCTAGTCCTACAAACCATTCCCACAAACCAAACAATACACAAAATAACCCATCTTGTTGATCTGATCGGCTACATCAATTTTGCAAGGATCCAAGCTGATGGAGAAACAGTTTGCCCTTTGGAAGACAGTCTTACCTTCTTGTGCTTTGATATTGGTAGACTGACTGAGCCTTTCATGTAGTGTTCGTATACTTCTTTGTCGAACAGACGTCCGAAACATGGCAGCTGGGTACGGTGACTTCGTGATGTCTCACCCTCACAGTAGAAATGAAGATCAAAAAACCCTGGTCATCCACAAGAATCAAAAAGAATAAGCCACCTTTCCCCCCCTTCTCCTTCACGTTCCAAAGGGACTCGCGGACTCGGCTCCGAACCACCTCGTCGACACCGAACACCGAACCACCGGCAAACCGCACCCACCGGGACTCCACGTTTCAGAGCTCCACCTGCGTCCCAGTGATCCAGCAGCAAACGGCCGCAAGGGCCTCTTTCCGGGGGCGAAGAGGATCCGAAAGAGGATCCGAAACAGGTCCAACACACGGCAAACTTCTGACACACCTTGGTGTCAGAAGGTGTCAGGAATCCTGAAACGACCTCTTTGGTGTTCTCAGTTTTCACCGATGTGAGCATGTACAAGTGCCTTTTGGACAATCAGTTTCCGGTTGGCTCAGCTAGTGGCTAGCCTTAGAACCAGCTGACATCCACCCTCTAATTGAGCAATAAAACAACTGCTTTGCATACAAAATTGCACCAGCATAGACCCCAAACAGCGTCAGCACTTTTGTCGGCGTCGGTGTCAACCCCGAAAATTCAAATGTTGGTGGAAACGACCGAAACAATAAATGTTTGAAAACGCCAGTTCCTGATGCCTGTATATGTCGTGAGAAGATCCGATGGTGATATCGCATTTCGATCGCTGTGTCCCTGTTGCATTCATAGCCACGTGAAAACATACCCAGACAAGGCGGCGGAGATAGGAAAAACGGCATGGCCAAGCATGGGACAAGCCCCGGGTAGCACGGTGATAAAAGGGCCCACAACGTGGACAAGCAGGACAGGCAGACCTGGACAAACAACAAAAGAAGGACACGGGGTTTGCGACCGTGGCACGAGGACAGCGGGGAACACCAGGAGGACCCACAGGGTTCGAAAACGTGGCGAGTAGAAGCGGGAGGAAGACACAGGGTTCGGCAGCGCGAGGAGGACAACGACGCAGGGTTGGCCAGCGCAGCCAGACGACAAGAACAGGACAAAAGGAGAGGACAGGAGGACGACAAGAAGAGGTCAAGAAAAGGACAAGAGGAGGACAAGAGCAGGACAGCACAGCCAAGAGGAGGACAAGAGGAGGAAAAGGCCTGGACACAGGGCCACAGAGCCCAGCCACAGAGCCCAGCCAGAGTTCAGGGGCGTGATTCCTTGCGCCTGCCACGGAAATTACACTTCCACACCCCAAAAGAACTGCGCCTGCCACGACATAATATCACTTTAGACACCACACGCTTGGACACAGCCAACACCACCCTCCAAACGCCAATCCCAATCTGACTACGCAGAAAACTGCAGATCTCACAAAAGCGCTGCCCCTGCGCAGTGAAACGAACCTCCACACTTTACGTCTCCACACGATTCCCGCTATTTCACACGAAGCTGACACGTCACGTTTCCATCCGAAACCCTCTCCAAAAGCTTCCCCCAATGTCAGCGCCTTAGCGGTTGCAAACGGTCGCGAACGGTTGCGGACAGTTGCGGACGGTTGCGAACGCTGAGACAACAAGTCGCGAACAAGGCTCTACCCCCATAAACCCAGACGAGAACCCTTCGCTACGCATTCGGGAAAACTCATGTAACATCATCGACAATCTTGAGTGACAATAACGGATCCAGCATCCGAACCATTTCCAGTTACCAAACCCTTTTCGATGTTCAACCCTTGCCTGGCGCTTCTGTCGTGCTGCGTGTGCTTGTGGTCAACGATGCGCTTGGGCCGGCCACACCTCAGCTCAACCAGTTTCAGCGCAAAAATGTTCACGGCGCTAGCTTCCCCAAAAGATACGCGTTTAGGGGAAACACCGTAGGCCTGCCATGTGAAGTCCATGAAAAGTGTGTGTGGGTTCTGGCTTCGTTCTAAGGAGCTTGTGGAAGAGGCACGTCACCTTGAGGCGCCCACCCTCCAATGGGAAAGATGAAAAAATCTACAGACACACACACTCAGGCCGTTAGACAAACAAATTCCTTGTAGAATTCCTTTTGCAATAGAAGGTTTGCACGTTGTTGACCAAAACCTCCCAATGTCCAGACCTGGGATTCTCGGCGTACTTACTCACGCATACTTTCATTGACTATCCCCAAGTTGATCCGTTACCCGAAGAAAAGAATTTGACCATGTGTCAGGCGTGGAAAATGTAGAAAATGGGTGGCCATTTTTTTGAAACCAAGCAAGCCAGGTGGTTGGGTAGAAGGTTTAGACCCTTAAAGTCTTAAGGTTTGGCTCGCGTCTCCCCGTCAGCGCACCTCCAGCCTCGACAACTTCGACAGGAACCGCTGGCGCGAGGGCGACGCTCCTGGTTTTCTCAGTGTCAGAGGTTGTCTGCAAAGCCGAAGACTGTTGCTGCACGAACGACATATAGTTGAAAAAGAATCTACATACATATAAATGTTTGTGTGCCTGGCCGTAGACATACACAGACAGGTACATACTTACAGACATAGATACACACACATACATACATACATACATACATACACACACATATACAAACATACATACATACATACATACATACATACATACATACATACATACA